GATGTGAATATATCAATTAAAAGCAGCGGCAAAGAGAAAAGTCTTCAGCCTGGATTTAAAAGTAGTCAGAGTTTCTGGGAGTTTGTTCCAGATGTTTGGAGCATAATAACTGAACTCCTCTAGGTTTAGTCCTGACTCAGGGGACAGGAAGCTGACCGGTCCCAGAAGGAGAAACGTCCTTAAAAACGTCCAGAGAGCCGACGCCAAGTCTCTCTGTCTGTATCACATCTTATAGAACAGATTAACTGGGCGGTCAACTCATTGAAATATGGAATCGCTGATTAATTTACACATTTATTATCAGTCGTAGAAGGTATATTCGTCAAACTTTAATTAACATGGAAGCGGACAAATATGCTCGCTCGTTTTGCTTTGTCGAAACCAAATGGAAATAATAGGACGACTTCACCACGAACTTTCCATTCTTCACAATCATCATCATCATCAACTTCAACGACGATTACGTAGGAGAAAGAAGGACCGCGGGCTCCCCTCCAGCTTCCTCTGTACCTCTTGGGAAGACCAGATTCCCAGTAGGTAGCTGGTCTCTTCAGTGGACCACTGCGTTTACCTTTGGGGTCTTCCATCGTTGTGTACATAGTGGACAAAACGTGGGCTTCTTGTTGTTGTTCAGGAGGTTGATCCCACAACCCGGCCCCGGCCCCGGCTCCTGCCCCTGCCCCGGACCCGGACCCTGCCCACACCCCGGCCCACACCCCGGCCCACACCCCGGCCCCTGCCCCGGCCTCTGCCTCGGCCCCTGCCCCGCCTCCGACGTTATCGTGACGTATGCGGTTCTTGATTCTCTTCTTGAAAAACCGGTGCTTATCAGGCTCTAGCTCCGAACCGGCCCTGGACCCGCGTTGGTGTGAAAGGGGCATTAGAGGTCTTACCTGGTGAGGATGGACACCAGCGTCTCCGTGGTCCCTCTCTGAGACTCCTCCCACTCGTTCAGCAGGGACGTGAGGTCGGCTTTAGCGTCAACAGAGATGGCTGATGACATCACAGGAGGAGGAGCAGGAGCAGGAGGAGGGGGAGGACGAGGAGGAGGGGGAGGAGGAGGAGGGGGAGGGGCTTCACCTCCGAAGCCCATCGCTTCCTGGAGGAGGAGGAGGAAACAATCAATGAGGTTGCAAAGGAACTTAGATCTGAAGTTAAAGTTCAAAAGATAGATAGAAAATAGTTTTCAAGAAATGTATGAATAGCTTTGAGTTGTGTCCATGTGAGAATAGCTCAGAGCTCCTGATTCCAGCTTCTTAATATGTCAGTCATTCAGTTCCAGTTTGTTATAACAGTGTTTTCCAAAGCCTAACATTGCCTTCACAATTATTTAAAGAAATATACAACAAGGTGGAATCAGGGAATAACTCAATGAAGCGATGCATCTTTGACCTGATAAGCCAGTCCCACCTGGTAGACCCTGACTCTTTAAAATGACCCTCATGAGGACCCTTCTCTTTACTCACCCGAAGCTCTGCCAGTGTTATGGGTTGAGGCCTCATATCTCAGACACCATCAAAGGGGGGGGGAGAGATGGTATTCGACCCCACAACAGGTGTCCTCTGCTGGGGGACAGCTGCTCAGAAACACCCGCCACTAACCAGAGGAGGCGGGAAAGTACTCACACTTAAGTACAAGTACAAGAGTGGAGTAAAAGTACATGTTACTCAAGTTAAAGTACAAAACGTTAGCATCAAACTGTAGTTAAAGTAACAAAAGTAGAAACACTCAGATCTTGAGTAAAAGTAGAAGTACTCAGATCTATTACTAGAGTTAAAGTAGAAGTACTCAGATCTATTACTAGAGTTAAAGTAGAAGTACTCAGATCTTGTACTTGAGTAAAAGTAGAAGTACTCAGATCTTGTACTTGAGTAAAAGTAGAAGTACTCAGATCTTGTTCTTGAGTAAAAGTAGAAGTACTCAGATCTTGTACTTGAGTAAAAGTAGAAGTACTCAGATCTTGTACTTGAGTAAAAGTAGAAGTACTCAGATCTTGTAGTTGAGTTAAAGTAGAAGTACTCAGATTTTGTACTTGAGTAAAAGTAGAAGTACCAGAGTGTAGGAATACTCTGTTACAGTAAAAGTCCTGCATTCAAAATGTTCCTCAAGTAAAAGTAGAAAAGTATTATCATCAAAATATAGTGAAAGTAGTGACAGTAAAAGTAGTCATTGTGCAGATTGGTCCATTTCAGAATAATATATATGATATGTTTTATAAAGATTGATCGTGAAAGTGTTCTCAAAGCTGGTAAAGGTGCAGCTAGTTTGAATGACTTTGTATACTGCAGGGTAGCTGGTGGATTTACTCCAGGTGGAACTAAAGTCTGATTTAACACTTCATTATA